AATGGAAAACACACATTCTGGACCTACCATACTCTCCAGATATCGTAGATAATTTAAGAGGGGAGTTTTGCTCATGTTCATGCGGCTGAGTAGAGTTCAGGCAAGGGAATGGTATTTCTCAGCTCTTAAGCAAGAGCTCTCCAAGATGAGAAGCCATACTGACCCACCCCAGTGCAATAGTACCCCACCAAGTAGCTTCTGCCAGCTAACCAAATTGGAAGTGATGGAGCTTGTGCAGGAAGTCAGGTAAATGAAAGGCGTCCCTTATTTCATTGTTCCATAGCCCTCCACATAGCCTACTCTAATTCAATAATGACTAATGGAATTGGATAGGTCTACAAAAATGCATTATTTAATCAATAATTTCTCTTCACATCAATATTACGTGAGTCAAAAGATAAAACTTGTTGGGTAAAATTAAGATGCATAGCATGTAATTTAAGGTTTGGGGCTGATTCCATGCCTTTACATACCTATCTTTGAGTCTGGGTTTAGTTGACAGATTATAGTATTTTGAAGAGAAATTACAAGTAAGATTTAAGCAGTAATTTTAAAAGTCTGAGTCATAGCAATGCTAGCATAATGACTTGATTGTTCAGTAACAATGCATTCAAATGTGTGCCTACTCCATGCTGAACTTTAAAAGCGATGCAGGAACTGGCTTGTACCCCATTGTCATATGAGGCCAAGGACAGTAAAGTCCTTGAGAAATGCTTTCTTAATTAGATAACTTAGAGCATACTACAACAATACATAATCATATATTACAAGTCCCTTTTACATGGAATATGCTGAAGATCAGTCTTGATGAGATTCATATGTTCCATGGTAGGAACGTGAGGATTAGAATTATTAAGCAGAAGGAACAGAGATATAGGAGAAATAAGAGGCAGAAACACAGAGCAGCATCAAGAGGGACATTCAGTGACTACAAAATCTGCCTTGTTTATTTTCCACATGCTTATATACTTCACTCCAAAAGGACAGGGGGGAGGCAAAAGACTTTGTTAACATGATGTAAGGAACTGACTTCAATTCTCTGACCTTTGGTCCAGGTGGAGCAGATCCACCTCTATACCCAAAATCCTAATTAACCACACCCTAGGCCAGAGACTCTTGTTTGTAGCCACGTCTGCTGTGTCATCAACAACTTTGAAAGAGCAAAACTAAGCTCAAACTCTCTGACCTTCAGTTAAGGTGGAACAGGCTCACATCTGTGGGCCCTCATGGGAATAAACTTCACTAATTGAAATGACATCTTCAAAAAGAAGTGTTTTACTTTGGTCATAACCACATACACTGGAGAGTTTCCCTTGGTATAAAGACAAATCCTTAAAGTTAAAAATGCTGTCCCATTTTTCTTTTTTGAAAATATAATAATCATTTTCATCAGAAGGTCATAAAATATTTTGACAAAAAAAATAGTATGCAGAATTATTTGTTGAATTTGTAAAGAATAATAAGGAGTTCTTGGACAAAATTTTTCTATGTCATCGTTTCAGCTGCTCAGTTTTCAGATAAAGGTCAGACTTGGAGTCAATACTACTATGAATTACACTTAGAGCAGGACTGGCCATTTATGCTGTCCTGGGGTTTTCTTTCTTGTCTACTTTTTAACTTCCTTTAGCCTTTCTCTTCAGTTTAACCCAGGTGGTGCAGATCTTCTATTCAGATCACAGTATGTCCTCAACTGGTCTCGAAATATACAAATAACTCATTTTAAAGAGCAGCATCATGTATAATATAAAGTTCTTCTATTATAGCATGTAAAAAAATCCTACCTGGAGCCAGTTTCAAACTTCCAATGCCTTGATATTTTCCCTACAGATAGAGATCACACAGAAGATTGTATTGTGAGATGTAAACAAGTCATCCCAGTTCCTTTCTTCATGAATGCATGCATGGGAGAATTAAATTAGAACAAGACAGAAAAAGAATCAATTTTATACAAAGAATTTCAAAGCTGCCTTTAACCTGGCTTAGATCTGCAGATGACTGTGCCTGTCTATGAACTTGCATGGCTTCTGGCCAACAAATAAAATTAAATGTGACACTCAGATTTCACAACAAAGACCCTGAAGATTTATTTAATATATGTGTGCTTTTCGCTCTTGTTTTCACAATGGCTCTAAATTATAGTGATCTCGTGTACTACATGCCCCAAAACGTGACAAATAGAATGGTTAAAACAGAGTATTTTTGTGCATGGATAAGTGGATGGTTGAGACATACCATGTTTAGAAAACTAGAATATAATGAATGTGTGCTTTTTGGTGATTTTCTACCCCTAAATATGAGCTGTCCATTGTCCCCTCAAAGTATTGTTGTCTACACTGTTGTCTTGGTGTGACAAAAACAGTTCTGCATTGTTCATGAAGTCCGCTTGCCTTTTGACTTGACACCTTCTTGCATGCTCTAAACCTTTCTCTTGTTGAGTGAGATACTTTTAAACTCTCTATCAATGACCTCCCCCAGAGTTTTGAGAGGTGACAGATGAATTATTATAGTTAGAAACAGTAGAGGGCAGGGTGGTGGTGGTGCACACCTTTAACCCCAGCACTCCAGAGGCAGATGCAGGCAGATTGCTGTCTGCAGCCATCCTGGTCTACAGAGTGAGTTCCAGGAAAACAGGCTCCAAAGCTAGTGTCCTGCAGTTTGACAAACAAGATGTGCTAAAAGAAATTTGGTAAACACTTCAAAGTGATAGTGACACTGTCTAACATTCCTGGACAAAGAAGAAGTGGGAAATGGTTTGTTTTCGTCTGTCAGAGTTAGTGCTGAATGATAATAATAATAATAATAATAACAATAATAATAATAATAATAAGTGTGGTCTATGTGTCTCTCTATTCCCACAAGAGCTGTTAATTTAGAAGACATGATATCTTTTAGTTCAGTTTTACTAAATTATGGTTGTTGCTTTATTTTTATTTAGGACCTTGTCTCAATTAGCTTAGAGTAGCCTTGAAATCACTGTGTATCTGACCATGATACTCAGCTCCTGGTCCTCTTGCCATCACCCCAGTGAAGCGCTTACAGGAAGGTACCCTTGCACTCAGCTACACTGTATTTCCTTGTAGGGCTTTTTAAAACCAGTTTAAAGTAACAAACCAAGGCCTAATGATAAAACATTCACAATATAGAGTAGAAACAAAAGGCAGCGAAATAACATAACAGACACAATGTTTATGCATTCATTTAGAAGAGAGATACATTTTAGCTTGAAAATGCATTTACTTATACCTTTATTCAGATATTTAAATAATTACCTCACAAAACTGTTCTGGGAATGTGTACATTTTAAATATAAAAGTACAATGTCCACAGCTGTTCAGAGAATAAAGAAAATGTGAATGCTTTGCCAACACATTGGTAACAATGGTAACTTTATAACTACATGTAACTTTTGAATTAAAACTTCTTTTTTCATTAGTATCTATTGGTAATGTCCAATTAGAAATCAAGCTTTTACATATATTCCTTTTGTTAAATAGCATAGATATTAATATAATAAAAGTGTTTCAATTAAGTCATGATATATCCCTGGTCTACTATTTTGGTGTAAATGTTTACAAAAAGTATTTATTGATTGAAAATGCTCATTTCATTGTATGATGTGAAATTATGTTCTAATGGTTTCCAAGTCAGTTGAAAGAATTAAATACAAAATAAATAAAATGTAAATAGATCCAAAAATTAAAGTAATTACTTTTGAATAATAATCTGTACGTAATTTAAATTCTTATAATTTCTCTATTATTATAGTATTTCAATAATTTTAAAAGGTTAAATTTTTGTGTGAGATAACTAATGTTACCTTACCGTCACAGTACATACAAAATTGTGAACTATGTAGCGAGAGGAGGAGAAAGAGGACTAATATCATTAAATTCTACACGTCAAGATAACGTGATAATTAGCACACTTTGAGGACTTTCTAATGGACTAGAGGTGTGTGCTCAAATTCCAGAGCGCCAGGTAAACACAGACGTGCAGACACAAAGCAATGACGTGATTGGCAGCGTGAATAAGCCGGAGGCAAAGCAACTACTCAGAGGAAACACAACTGTTCCCGGTAATTGGAGCTTAACAATCCCTCTGTCGGGTTTTACAAGATTTAACTGAGTTATGTTGTCAAATGAAACAAACAGGGGTCTTTAAGGAATAGATGGATTTCAGTTAAGCCTTTCTTTAGTTTTGAATATTTGAATAGGTAGAAAGGAAACTGGACAGACACACGGCAGACAGGGGCAGCAACAAGAATGGAGCTGAGACGTGATGAATTAGCTCTGTGGGTTTCAGGTCATTTAAAATGGGTAGGGTTGGATGTGTATGGGGAGCCTACTGATAAAGTATGGCTCACACATCAATGAAACTCTTGGGGAGACAGATAAAGTTTCAGATAGAAAAGGGTGGCGGACAAAGAGGAATGCAACGTCTATTGTGGAAAAGGAACAGACAAATCTATCAGTGTTTTAAATAGACACTGATCACATAATGAAATATACAAACAAACCCACTTTGTACACATATGATGAAAGGAGACAGCATAATAAAAGCTACTCCTTCATTTTAGTTGGTGCCAGAGTTTTATAGTGCAATTTTTCTACTGGGTACTTTCCTCTCCATTTTAAAGGCAAAAGCAAAGAGCAGCTAAAACGTTCAAGACATACATCAGGTAAAACCTTAAGATTAGTGTTTCCTATGCTTATGCTTATTTTGATCTGGGTCCTGTGACTGCTGATATTCTGGACACTGGAATTTATGCATTTGAGTTTTAAAATTGTCTCAGTAGACACCGGTGCCTCTTGGTATCTCAGATTCCTTTCTTAGTTAATGAATGTGGTAACATACGTCAATATTGAGAAGCAGGTTATATATTATTTATGACATGTTGAAAATGGTGCACAGAATCCAATATGAAGCTTTCGTTTTGCCTTCCTGTTGTGTTCCATCTCATAGCAAATATAAATGGAAACACAGAGAAGTAGAGCACTTACAGCCATTCACCTGAAGCAGATGTGTATTCTCTTCCTTTTCTCACAGGACAGTGTGAGTTCCACAAACCTAGAAAACAATAATCAGGATTCAAGTGCTGATACCATAATATTTATAGAAAGCTCTTCCAAATTATATATCAATTCTCAGATGAATAATTTCATATATGGATCAGAATACCTGTTATTCCAGAAAGAGGTTGCAGTGGATTTAGGCACTATGCAAGAGTGAAACCACAGATACAGAAACGGCATTCAGCCATATTTGACTTTTCTTCAGTTGCCATGGGTCAGGTCTGCCGTGCGCGACCTCCATCAGAAAAAGCATACTCTCACAGCACAGCAGCTTTTGTGAAATTGGTTGAATAATAACTACAGTTTGGACCGAACACTTTCTTCTTTAAACATTTACTACATGCGTCTGCAGTTTAGGATATCATCATACAACTGGTAAATCACTCACATATATAAGATCGGGCAAGTTGCCCTGCAGATATCCAGACCTGGATCAACTTTAACCGGTTGGGAGTGGAAAATAGACAAGTGAAAATCGCCTCTGCTGTGGACACAGAGGAATGCGGGAGAGCGGCTTCTGCTCTAGCACTTTCATCGCGTTCAATATTGAAAATAACCGAGACAGGATTTAAAGCACACATAACAGAATGCAAGACTACATGCAGGTGCACACCACTTATGTAAGAGACCTGAGTATCTCAGGAGCTTTGTATTTGAGGGTGATTCTGGCACCAATTCCTCATGGACACTTAGAGACACCTGAGTACATGGGGAAGTGGCATTATACTGAGGTTATATGCAGAAATCATACATATTCTATAAATATTCTCTAAGTATCTATAAATATGTACATATGCTTAGTTTTACACACACACATATATGAGATAATCATTGGGTAAACACAATCAATGAATATTTAATCTCTATTATTTTATTTTCAATTTCTGCTAACTCTGTATATATTTTTAGACAGACTTAAATCAGAGACCCTTAGAAAGACATCACCAGAAAGAAGGTTTTTTTTTAATGAAGACTTGTTTCCAATACAGAGACACCAAAACCCAATTCCTGATTAAAATAAATAATCTTTGTTATCAAATTTTAAAATGATGTATAATTCAGAGATTTCTTTTTTTTTTAGATTTTTCGAGACAGGGTTTCTCTACAGATTTCTATAAAATTCATTAGTCATTAAACAATTAAGTTAAACAATATATTAACTGCACTGAACATTTGTGAAGCAATATGTTAAATATGTTTAGTATATTAATATGTTTAATATATTAAATATTTTAAATATATTAGTATTAAAATATACTGAAATTATTAACAAGAAATGCCTAGGTGTTTATCTCAAATTACTTTAGAAGAGTTGCCCAAGGACAAACCAGCTTAAGGAAAGAGAATGTTTCAGTCATAGAAATTAGAACACCAGGACTATGATTTATGATTTAAAGTGCTAAAAAAATATCAATTTTGAAACATTAGAAATGAATAGTTCATCTTAACACCTTGATTTGAAGTAATTCTGCTTTCACAGGAGATATGAGACAGCGTAGACTATGCATGTCTCGCGGTTGCTCCTCATTCTATAGCGAGCTCACGCAGGCGGCAGCACCCCTTGCTATGGCAAGCTCCCACACAGTGCAGCATGCAGCATGACTATAAACCAGGAATGTGGCGTCAGCACTGCTCGCAGAGGCAGTCAAGGCTCAACAGTGTGAGCCTCACTGCTGTGTGCTCTATTCGGTCCCATGGCACACAGTCTTGAGTAATCACCTCCCGTGATGAAGAGGGGGAAGAATAAGGGACTAGGAAAGGTCATGAATGGGAAAAGAAAGCTCCTGAGGTGATGGTGTGGTTCAATGAACTGTTCTCTAACATCAAATGCAGAATATGTCTCCGTTTAAGACCCTTTATACATGTGCGGGGGGGAAGGCTATACTGTTGTCCCTAGGTGAAATTCACAGTGAATAATCAGAATGCAAGCCAAAAAGAAAATGTTGATTTTAGAAAAATAATTTGTCAAAACCACAGCACGCTATTCTCTTCTCAGACAGTATTGCCATTTAAATTAAAGTGTCTGCGGAGGAGATGTATCTGACAACAAATAGAACCCAAATGACCTCTTGTATATGTTAACCTTATTAATTGCTTTAACATTCAAGTGCTGCATTTCCTGGCATAGAAAGTTCCGGTTATTTATTGCCCTTTATTGTGGCAGACCTTTGTGCTTTGTGTTTTCAGCTCTGTTATTCTTAGGAGCCAGGAACTCTGACAGCTGTTGCCAGTTCCATGAAGTTTGTTTAAAACAATGGGGGAGATTGCCTAGCAACCTCACATCCAGTTTCTGGTACCCTCTTGGAGATCACATTCCACACACCCTGCTCATCTCCATAAGCTCACAGGGGAAATCATACACACACATGCATCCCAACACAGCATAACCAAAATTCCCCACTGGGTTTCTTAACGTCTTGCCCCATTGTTCCCGGTCTCTGTGACTATTTGACACAAGCAGCCTGGGTGACTATTAAAGCTGAACTAATCACAGGGAAATTTATGCAAATCAGTTGCTTTCTCCTCTGTCGTTCCCTGTACAAGGTTTACTTTTGTCAAGACATTAATATGCAGCCAAAATGTGCATTATTTATTTATTCATTTATTTATTTAGCTAGTTAGTTAGCTAGTTTACTAAAGTAGAAGTCAGAAACCCCCTTTATCCTGTGCCTAACATGTGATACCTCAGATCCATTGTTTACTTCACTTTTGAAAAACGCAGGTTTAATGAAATCAACATTCTTTCAGTGTTGGTAACAGCCAGCCAGAGTTGAACTGCTTTTATTACGTATTTTCCTCTTTATCTGATGATAATAAAAACGTTTAGGGCATTATTAGACTTCGTGAGGATACCATCCCAATGGGTGACAGGTCTTGACTCCAACACTAAAACTTCATTTGTTCATTTGTTCTCTTACTTTAGAATATCTTAATAGTTTCTCCTCGTATGCTTATCTGCAAACTAGAAACAGTAAATAATGCCAAGATCCCTTTCTAGCGAGCATCTCACAAATGTTCAAACTCTACTGTGAAACTGTTCTGCATTAAGAATTGAGAAAGAAGACAAATTATGAATATAAAGATAATGGCCAGTTTTGACTATCATGCTGAACTAATGCAGCCGTGTGTAAAGATAGAAAGACAGGGTGGTCACATGATCACAACTAGCTAGAGAATCCGGGAAGACCCCAGACATAAAATAAAGAACACAGCTATTCTTGGTAGAGAAGATGTGAGTCTAACCACAGAACTGAGTGACATGAGAGACAGAGAGAAAAGAATCCCAGCTGACTTAGCATACTCAACAGTGAGCGACATAAGACTCACAAACAAGAAAGGAGGTGACATCTTACATTCAGGATTGCCCTTTGACTGCTGTATGCACTCCATGGCACTCATGGCTGTGTGCACTCACACAAACATGTGCTGCACAGACACACATACGAGGAATGTAAAAATGAATTAGCCATTAGCCTTATAGATTCTCATAAATGAATAACTAAATATTCAAAAACTATTTTTAGAAATGCCAATTTGCTACTCATAAGATTACCAAATTATTAATTTAGTATTTACTCAGTGGCTACTGAGTGGAAATTCAGAGAGTCTCAAAACAAACAAACAAACAAATAAAAAACCAACAAAGACACTATTGTCAAAGAAATGTGGGGTGCAGAGGCTTGTATTTCCTTAATATTGTACTGAAAATCATTGCATTATAGCTGTATCCTTTAGTCATGTGACATAAGCTGACCACTTTGTTGTGAAACACATTAAGTACAATTAGATCACAGTTTAATTCCTCAAGCATCTGGTGCTCATTCTGAAGTGGCTACTAACAGAATTTTATAATGGAAATCCAGAAAATGTTCGTTTAAGGGGGGGTAAGCATATTTATCTTTTCTGTTTCTTTTTGTTGATGCTCTCCATTTATCCTGAAAGTTAGAATAGGAAGATAGTGTCTAATCTTGACAGTAGCTTCTTAGTAATCAATTAAGATGGGCTGGAGAGATGGCTCAGTAGTTAAGAGCACTACCTCCTCTTCCAAAGGTTCCTGAGTTCAATTGCCAGCAATCACAAGGTGGCTCACAACCATCTATAGAGATCTGGTGCCCTCTTGAGAAAGAAACCTGGTCAGCTGTACCTCATCATCTTAGATCATGAAACCCAATATGGAAAAGTTCAACAGAACCACCATATATGGGCTGTCCACGCATGCTTGAGCATTGGCAGGGCTGACATTTCATTTTTTTCCTTCTTACGCATCAGGGCTGAATCACCCAACTCCTGTCTATAGGGTAAACTATACTATGCTGCCCAGGTGAGGTACAGGGCCTATATTCCTAAGTGCTGCAGTTTAGAGGAGGAGGGCATCTTCCCCTCCCCCATGCCACCACATGGCATACCAGAGGAGTGCCACCTGCTCTCCTGTTCTTGTGCCCACAAGGCCAGTTCACCTATACCCCTGCAAACGGGGTCAACTCTATTGTGCTGCCCAGGTGAAGTGTGGATCGTGTGGATCGCTCTCTCCCCAGCACTTCAGCCCAGCTCATGAGGGGCAGGACCAGTTCTCCCTTGTGCTATAGCCCATGAGGGATGAGGCCAACGTTGCACAGCCCTGTCTTCTCAGCCTTTGGGGGTAACAGGAGTAACAGATAGCAACAGAGACCCAGCAGTGTCAGGGCCATAAGCCAGGCCTAGACATCGTTAAGCCCTGGATGGCAGTAAGCCACCCACCTCCACTGGCTCCTCACTGTGTTCGCTTCTTCAGCTATGCCTCTGTCCACAGGCCGTGAACCATCTTGTCTCTCTCTCCCATTTCACACCATATATTTGCTCAGGAGAGTGGTGTCCATCTGCCTGACGCCATAAACATAGCTCCTGGCGTTTTCTCCTCCTCCAAGTTCAAGGTGGACTCCTCAAGGCCTGCATGTGGGTCTCCTTGTCCTACTCAGTCTCTCACGGCCCCTGAGCAAGACTATGGTTCCTCATCACAAAAAGATCCTAATAGAGGCGGGCAGTGATGGCGCACGCCTTTAATCCCAGCGCTCAGGAAGCAGAGGCTGGCAGAGCTCTCTCAGTTCGAGACCAGCCTGGTCTACAGAGAGTGTTACAGGACAGGCTCCAAAGCTACACAGACAAACAATGTCTCGAAAAACTAAAGGCAAACAAAAATGAAAAAAAGAAAAAAAAACACCCAGCGAACTGTTGGTTGGTGCAAGTGTTTCTCTCACAGGCTG